CACAAAGTAACCTCCCCACAAAAGGAATAACATCTACCTCTTGAATTGCTAAATTAGCTCGTGCTGCAGCAGGCTTCCCACTTCATTGGAACTGAGCCAGGCACAACAAACCTCAGCAAGCTTTCGGCAAGGGGCAGGCTTTATTGAGATGGAGCAGTTCAATAGGCAGTTTCCATAAGACCAGGCTTTCTGTGGAGCCTCGAGTATTACAGAGCTCCAGAAAACAGAGAGCCTAAAAAGTGAAGTCTCACATTTCCCTCATTTTAGTGAAACTGAATGTGAGGTACTTGTCTTCCTTTCCTTTGTTAGTCTTCCCAGGCAGTCTCAGGTGAATAGAGGAGACCGAGTGCTTATATCAACAGTACTTGTTGCTCTCTCTGGAACTACATTCTTCAGGCACAACATGAGATTCACCAGGACGTGTCCTAGACCATGGAGCAGGCAAGATCAGAAGGGTCTCTTGCTTTATTTACAAAGTTATGCCTGGACACTTTTTGCAATGTTGGCAAATATGAACATACTGTGTATAAACAATGCACTGTCATATCTGAACGGGAGGAGGTTTAGTTCGCAATAACTTGGAGAGGTGCACACAAAACGAGCATACTCTTCCTGCTCCAAGGCTAGATTTAAAGCAAGTAACTGATCAGAAGCCGCATAAGCCGCTAAGAACAGTGAGATGGGCATGGTCAAAATGCTGAGGCTGGTCATGACTAGGGGTCAGTCTGGGTAGCTGCGACCCTGAAGAGTAGGCAATGATGTTGCAGCATTGTGCAACAGTGTAGCAATCTCAAGGCAACACCTTGCCCTATAGGAAGGGCAAGCGATTTTATTTTAAAACATAGCTGATTGACTCACTCATGCTCTTATTCTCTCGCCCACATGCTCACAAGCACCAGGATGGGGTATCCATGCCATCTGCCCAGCACATAGATGCTGGGGCATGCATATATATCTTTGCAATGATTTGCAGGACAAGAGATGGTGCCTATCAAGTTATCGTCATGTCTCCTGCGTTCTGCTTTGATCAGTGACCACACGCTGGTTTTGCATCTGCCCTTTGTACCCTTCAGGAGCTGAGGAGTGACTACTCTTTCCACCCTGTTCCAACTCCGTGAGTCATCAGCATTTACTCCCTGTCCCTTTTCTCCTGACCCGGCTATCCTGAGAAGCTGTGCGTGGTGTGTGCTGGGATCTTGATGACCTGCTCATCTAGGGCCCATCAACACCTGCCACTCTTACACCTTTTTTTAATAGTCTCCTACCTTTTGCTCCTTCTGGTGCTTCACAACCAGACGTTGCCATTCCTCCTCTAGTCTCACTAATCTTAAAATGTGTGTTGCAGCTCTCTTAACAGATAGAGTTAAATCTGTAAAAGGAATTTACTGAATGAATTTTGTGAGAGATTCTGTAAGAGATTTTTAGGGGGATTAGGCTCACGGACATTAAAAGGCAGGAAAAAACCCAGCTGCTTCAAGGGAGAAAATGAGAAATGTTTTTGAGAACAGCTTTCTTATCTATGAGAAAGCAAAAGCCCCATTTCTCTTTCTTTCTCACACCATCTGTGTTTGTTAACTCTAACTGTTTTAGAAACAAAACATCTCTTTTCATGTAAGCCAAGCTAACACAATTCACATAACCATCTATATATGTACAGGGGCTAAGTAGGGAAAAAAAAAAAAAAGAAGGCTTTCTTTTAAGCTTCTTCTAAGGTTCAGAGGCCTAATAAAACATTGCCTGAAGCTCTCCACAGTTTATGAGTAGTACAAGGCCGATAATACATGAATATATGTAGACATCTTGGATCAGACCCATCCAGCTCAGTATCTTGTTTCCAGCTGTGGCCATGTGAGAAAGCCTGTAAGAATAGCAGGGATTCCTCCTCATACTCTCCCAGTCGCTAATCATTCTCAACATGGTTTATATGTGCTTAGTAACTCTTAACAGATTTCTCACCTGTTCATTTGCCCTTAAATCAAATTTTAACCTCTCCAACATCTGTTGGCGAAGAGCTCATTTGGTGAACTGACTGTTGCCTGAAGTGCTGCTCCTTTTTATTTGTTTTAAAGCTGCTTCTCCACTAGTTTCTTTTAACAGTGCCAAGTTCTTATATCTGATTCTGCCAACAGTTTTGGCCATGTGGTAACCAAGTGCCAACTGTGGACTGTCCTGGGGGAATGCAGGTGGTGAAAGAGGGTGTGAGAGGTGGGAGCCCAAGGCAGCGTGGGCCATGCCAAAGGCAGGGTGCTCCAAAAAGATCCTGGCTCCATGTAGCCGTGCACAGGTCTGGGTTCAGTTTGTGCAGCCTGACTCACATACAAAGCATAGCCTTGTTCCCCACTCCAAATAACCACTGCTTCCCTTCGTCCAGTGTCCTGAAGGAGGATGAGCATTGGTTATGCTCTACCTCGTGTATCCTGGTCTGGGTCTTCTCGAGGCCCAGGTGTCGTCTCTGTTACGGAAGTGCTTTGTGGGTGCTGCTCTGCACGGGGGTGTCAAATGGAAACCAACATTAACAATAGCATTTATTTGGAAAGAAATACTCCACTTTCAGGTCAGTTAGGTACAAGTACTGTTTTTCCCAAACTATGTTAAGTCAGAGTTTCTTTAGAGAGACTCTCAAGCTCTTTAGCTCTGATTTCTACTATAAGACTTACGTGAAGTCTGACTTTGTTTCTCCATCAGGTAGCATGTGGCAAGGCACATGTGTTTCCCACTCCAGTGGCCGCATTATTAAGTGGCTGTCCAGCAGATAAACTGTTCAATTGACTGTATGTATTAATCACTCTTTAAAATGAAGATCTTCTTCTCGGGGTTTTCAGATGCTACATCTTACTCCATGTTTCTTACTTATATACCTCTCATAGTCCAAGCAAAGAAGCTTCTAGTGGCAATGATCGCTAATTCAGACAAACAGAAATGCCAAATGTGTAAAAAAACGTGTTTCCAAACCTTCCTTTCCTTCCTTGCCCTTCAGTTTGGGCAAGTTAAAAATGCTGGCACTTTGAGGTTAAACAATAGCTGCCAGGGAGACCGCACCACAAATAGGAGTTTGAGTAAGGACAAGTTGCCAGCTACGTACATAGTTACGCAGCACTATGGGCGTCCTCCCTGCACTCCCTCACTTGCAGCAAGGTGAGATACGTTTAATTCAACTTCTTCACGGACGGAGATGCCATTGCATCTTGGGTGCCTAATACTGAAATTAGCAGCACTTACATGCACTTTATCATAACGCTTTTGTTTCTCCCATACAGCAGGCAAAGCGGATTATACATATGCATAACTGACTGTGTGTGATATCTCTTTTTGGTTCCAGGAGTGGGTGTGGGAGGTAAAGCCACTTCTTTGCCCTCCTCCTCCTTACCCCCAGATGAAGGGTGAGTCAGAAGCCGAGAGCGAGAAGGCTCCAGCCAGCCCCGCTCAGGCTCCACCGTGGGGAAGCTCAGTGGAAGAGCTTGAAAAGGCACCCGTTGGTCTTGTGACAATCTCTGCGGTGAGTGACATCCCTCGCAATGACTCACAGTGGCAGGCTGAGGCTGTGGGCAGAGCTTCCCCCGCTTCAAACACAGAGATGGGAGGAAAAATGCAAAAGGATGTGATGGGCGTTGTTGCCCCCGGGCAGCAGCAGGTGGGTACTGAGGTGAAGAAATCCTCTCAGCTCACTGCTGTGGGACTGCTCTGGTCTGGGACTAACTTTCTGCTAGGACCAGAAAGGCCACGATCTCTGCTGGAAGGGTGGTCGCTGTGACTCTGAGTACTGGAGGAAATAATTTGGAGAAAGAGGAATGTAGGGCTTTGAGGGTTCCTGTGATATGACAGAAACGAAGACATCTGGAGAGTTTGGTATCACCTAACTTTGAATAGGATTGCATTTACATTTTATTTATACATTTAACAGAAAACAGGTAATTTAGCTGTAAGATATGTTGTAAAACAACAGTAATATAACATAGATCATACATTATGTAACATTTACTGTCAGAAAAACTCTGTGTACATAAGCCTCCAAAACACCATGCATGGATAGTAAGTGTAAGAGATTGCTCCCTAGCTGCTGGTCCTAGGGAACTCGGGAAATTCTGGCAGCAAGTGATTTTTATGAGTTCTTTCACGTTCTTCTGTTTCCTGTAAACAATTTGCTCTTGATGTAAACCATCAGGAAATGCTATGACGCTGACAAATGCTCGAGGCTGTGCATAGTTCATGCCAAGCTTGACTTCAGTGCTGTGGTGGGGCTGCTGGGACTTGGGTCTACCTCTGTGCTGCTGCCTGTGGCAAGGGCAGAAGGGCATATAGCAACACAGGCTACTCTGGGCAGGGCTCTTCAGCTGTCTCGGCTGTCACGCATCCCTTCCTCAGACTCATGGTGCTGTCCAGGACAGGTGCAATGTTGTACTCGTCCTGTACTTGCTACTACTCTTTCTTCCCAGCGCTTGACTAAAGATCTATCTGTCCTGAGCATGAGCAAACCTCCAGATCATACCTGTGTAGCAACCTCTGCAGGGGTAATTTCAATCCTGTATTACTCTTTTGTAGTCTCCTTTTCAAACTTTCAGTCTGCATTTGACTTTTTACGGGCAAAGCACAGGAACATCTAAAAGATGCTTCTGGGATTGCAGTAGGAGTCAGGAAGGGGAGTGGGACCTTGTATATTATCTTCATTTTTAAAGTATTTTATCAACTCCAAGAACTGGATATACAGCTTTTTAAAAGCACGGATTCTGCTCTACAGAAAATCCCATTACAAGGGACTTGCGGAATGTGCCACAACTCAGTTTACTAAGTGGACAATCAATACTTTGATCCTTGAACTTTTAGACCATTTTCTATTGTCTCTACTTTTAAGCCTCAGTCTAAAGCCTATCACAGTCAAAATAATTCCAATTAAAGTGATGTGACCACGAGTCGGTGCAAGCAGGTGACTGTGGGGAAGGGTAGGCTGTCTCGCTTCTGCTCGGCTGCTGAGCAAGAAGCCTCTGATCACTTCACTTTTTACATTTAATTTGATCTGAAAAAATCAGATGTGTCTGATTTCCAGTGTCAAGATTATTATAGAAACTGTTCACGGAACACTGCAAGGATAACCTCCATAGTGGTATAGTTAAAAGTAATGTCTTTTCTGCTAACAGGACTATTGCAAGAGACAGATTTTCATCTGACAAATGTCAAGAGACAGATTTTCATCATTTTCATCTTTTTTTCATTTGCCTTTTCACACTAAGGCCATAATTTCACAAATGCTGTTAACTACTTTCTGAGGTAGTCCTAGTTGATGCCAGCCACTAGGGCCAGTCACTGGCCCTAACGTTTGCATGACGGTGACAGACCAGATCAGGGACCCAAAGTGGCTCAAAATGAAGCTCGCAAGGAAAAGAATAAGGTTGATTTCAAGGTTCAGTTCAATGGATTGATTCCCCAGTCCTGGTCTCCTGTTCTCTCCGGTTCTCCATATTGTCAGGGGCAAGTCAAAGAATGATACAAGGGGAGAATGAAGAGCAAAATATGTGTGAAACTGCAACCTAAACTATAAAAAGATAGAGATGTTCGCTCTCATTGACTCTTCTTTAGTCAATATAAAAATCCTCTCTAAGCCCGCAACTATTTTTATACTCTTCTTAAATTGTCACTTCCCTTCTCTCCAAAATAATCACCAAAAATGGAGGCAATAACAGTGCCACCGCACAGAGAAGAAAATGAGCCCGATGCTGCGACTCTGTGTAAACGGGCCAACACTTCTCGTTTGAGAGCCCAGCCTTGCTCCCCCTGCTACGTTAGCTGGCCAGCAGACTCTGGAGGGAGAAAATGTTTAATTTTATTTTCCGGATTTCTTGCTGCAGGCAACTTGTACCACCTGTAGAGACTGGAGTGGAGCTCTGGGCTGTTGGAAAGCAATGAGGATTTTGAAGCTGTGCTGAGTAATCCTGGGGGAGGCCCAGCAGCAGCCTGGCTTGCAAATATCATTTGAACTGGAACAGTTTTATTTACTGCTCAATTCCTATATTACAGTGAAACCCTGGATGGGATGAATTCTGACTCGCAGCTCACAGGGATTGGAAGAAAACGTTCCAGCCCTTCACTTTGTATATTCCCCTTCTGTGCCATCTGCTGTCTGTTTTCTGGTGGCAGAAGGACCAATGACAGTGGCTTTAGGCCCACTGCAGATACATTTTCAGGTTTGGTAGCTGGCATTGGCTATTTGATTGGAAAACAAAAGGAAGTGCTAGGCTGGCACTTCTGAAGGGTCATGGTCAAATGGTCCCGGTGAGTGATGGACTGCTGCTACCAAACACAGACACCAGCACCGGGAGCTTGTTGTTCTGGTGCTGATAGCAGCACCCAGCTTTTGCTCCAAAACTTGGCGTCCTAGGGACAGAACTTTGAATCTTTTTCCCAAAGATATCGCAAGAGTCCTGCTGGGGTAACTGGATTAAACGTGGCTGCCAGCCCAGCAGTGCACAATCACTGAGCAACGTATGGGAAAGAAGGCCTATGTTCCGGTGTGGGATAGTCAAACCCCAAGCCGCAGTATGGGAGAGGAAGTACGTCTCTGAAGCAATTGCTATTTGTCCTTAGCCCCTGCAGGTGAGTGTGATGGAGCAGGATGGTACAGGGAAACACCAGATGACCTATCTGTACAGAGGTGTAGATTTGTACTTCCTCCCCAGTACACCACCACCTGGGCGCCCACGTGGCTCTGGGTTTTTGGAGACGCTTTTGGTTGTGCAGGTCTGTGCAGTCCCTGCTTCAGGGCCAAGTGCAAAGTTACTACAACACTAAAAAAAATAAGAAACAATTGAATGCTCTCGAACAGCAGAAGTCTGCAGTTCGAAAAGCAACATTAATTTGTCAAAGGTTCCCATCACTCTCAGAGTACAAAAAAAAAGGATACAGATGAATGTAGAGGCAAGTGTGACATGTAGTGCAAGGTTGTTAATTTGGGGTATGAATTTACATTTTGGAGTTTGGGGTGAACCTGAACTAATGGATTTTCTGCTTTTGCTGCCCTTTCATTTACAGAATAAACTGCAGCAATCAGTTGTTATTTTAAAGATATGAGCATTTTTGATCTGAAGTACTACAGTCTACCAGAGATTTTTACTTTTTTTAAGATTGGTTAGTGTTATATTTTGAGTAGGAAGCTTCAGCTTCACACCAGTTCTTCCCATGGCCTTACTGTGCTACCTAGAACGTCTGCCAAGTTAGACTTTCAATTGAGAGCCTCCTCCACTAATCTCTACGGCTTTTATCGAGATTTTATTATTGCTTACCTTACTGTGAACTTTGAAAAGGCTTGGGGAATATCTGAAGTTGTTTTAAATTATTTAAAGCATCGGTAGGATGCAGGTAAGCATGCGTTGCTCCCTCCATACCCTTTGTTTTGTTTTGTTTTGTTTTCGGGCAGATAGGTAACGCAAGGGACCTGGTGACGAGGTGAGCTGCCCATTCCCAGCCTGGTCCACACGTGCCTACAGCAACCACGGCGGGAGGCAGCACGGACAGCATCGCAGCAGAGAATGTCTCCAGACAACGGCAGAAATAGCAGCGTCTTGAACACTAAAGTAGGTCTTCAAAGCAGGCAAAGAAGCAGGCAGGGACGGGAAACGACCCATCATCCTCCCTCTTCTGTCCGTATATCTTGGCACAGGCAGCTCAAACGTCCAGGCCAGCCTCGGGCAAGCAGGGCCCGGGTGCCCTCACCCACGGCCGTTTCGGAGGGACACAGGGGAAGAGCTAGCTCTGAAATTTCCCCAGGCACCTGCCCCCTTGTTGGACTTTCTCTTTTAAAGAGGCCTCACCCACTACTGTCAAGCACACACAGAACCTCCTTTTAATTGCTATGGATTTCACTCTGGCTTGTGCCCTGCGCATTAGCGGAGGTGCCGGTGCCTGCCCGCTGCAGGCACAGGGGGACAGGGCAGGTCCGGCCCGCAAGAGAGCGACGACAAACGCCGGCTCCAGGGCCCATCTCTGGCGATTGGAAGGAAGCAGCCAAACAGGAAGACTTCAGAGACCACACCTCTACGCTGCCGTTGCCCATCTCCCCTTCCAGCGCCAAACATGCATGTTTTTGGAGCGCAGAGGAGATCTGAATACACTGAGGTCAGTCCTTTGAATGAGATGTGAAAGCAGAGCCCTCCTCTGTCAGCGGTGCCTGAGGCGCGATGTACAAAACCCGTAGCGTGTCCTGAACAGGAAAATAAGCCGACATCCAGATCACCGTCTCCTCTTTCAGTAGACAGCTTCTACTGCCCATCCCAAGACTGCAAACTGCCGTCGGTAGTAGCGGTGATGTTTATCCATGTAGCAGCTGCCCCTCTGGTGCCTGTCTCCGCCTATGAGTCCCAATGGAGACCAGCAACCAGCTACTTGGAGCTGGTGTACTTGGTCACGGCCTTGGTGCCCTCGGACACCGCGTGCTTGGCCAGCTCCCCAGGGAGCAGCAGGCGCACGGCTGTCTGGATCTCCCGCGAGGTGATGGTGGAGCGCTTGTTGTAGTGTGCCAGGCGGGACGCTTCGCCGGCAATGCGCTCAAAGATGTCATTGACGAAGGAGTTCATGATGCCCATGGCCTTGGAGGAGATGCCGGTGTCTGGGTGGACCTGCTTCAGCACCTTGTACACGTAGATGGAGTAGCTCTCCTTCCTGCTCTTGTGGCGCTTCTTATCCCCTTTCTTCTGGGTCTTCGTCACAGCTTTCTTGGAGCCCTTTTTCGGGGCAGAAGTGGACTTCGCTGGCTCCGGCATCTTGAAAGCTCGTTCTCTAGTGCTTGCAGCTGCTCGGAAAGAACACCAAAAAATCAGATTCTTTATTATTCCTTTACTGAATAATTTTACTGAAAGATGGGAGACTGACTCAGGGGAGGAAAGAACAACTAAATGCAGAGACAAGTGACATCTCTGACGTGTGAGATAAATGCCCCATGACCTACTGCAAGCATTTCTGAATTGCCAACAAGCATTGCTCTCTTATTTGTGTACATTTTTGTATTGTTTTCTGTTTAAATTCCCATGAAACTGGCCTTGCTAACATTGCTGAACATAGGCCTACTTGGTAAATATGGGCTGGGGATAAACATGTTTCTGAGAACATTGCAGGAATTGGTCCTTGCCAAAGAAAACAATGTTTGCAACATGGATTAAACTAAATCTTTCTGGAATGGTCTGGAGGCAGTTGTAAGAGATCACTGAAGCCACCTTTATATTAGATTGTCTGAAATTATTTTACACAGTTATTACAAACTCCAATAAACTCTGTTTTTTTGCTTGTGGGCAGAAGTTTATTTTGTAAATGTTTGCATTTCTGTGGCTATTGTCTTACATCATATATCATAGTGGAACATAAAAACAATCAAACCTTAAGCTGGCTAGCTGAAGTACGGGAAACTCCCACTACTCAAGTTAGCTAGCAAAAATACCAAAGAGTAGAAAGCTGAAAGGAAGTGGCAAGAAGCACCTGGCATGGAACCAGGAAAGTAGATAGAAAGGAAAAAACTAGGTGCTTTGGGGCTTCAAGTTGACTGAGAGAAGCTACAGGGACTGAAATGGTCCCTGCCATTTGGTGCTCTCTGCTTTCGGGAAAGCGGGTCTCCTTCGGCCAGTTTACGTCAAAACTTCCTGATTCTGTCCCTGATTTTTTCCTTCATTAGGCCATAACTTGCCGAGCCGTGACCTTTTGCTGACTGCTGTAATCTAGAGGCACAGTAATAAAGAGACAGTATGTAAACGGGTCATAAAAGTGGATGCCTCCTCTACACTGCAGATTTAAATGTGTTTTACCACATGTGTCCAGGGAATAACCTGGCCTTTTAATATGAATGGTTTTGTGCTTCAGAGGACACTCTGAGCGTGCCACGGAGAGGCAAATCTTCAGCCTTTTGCCCCCGATCAGCTTCCAGCCTCGTCCCAGAGCACCTCTTTCAAAGAGGGCCTATGAAGTACGCTCTGCTGGCTAGGAGAGACTAGAAGAGAAAAAAAGAGCTTGAAGGCTGATGGTACATGTGAAACCGGACAGAGAGTAAACAGGAGAGAGACCTCCGGGGCTGGTGACGTCTGGGCTGTACGCACAGACCCAAAGGGACGCCTGTGCCAACCTGCGGCACCCAACGATCGCTGCGGGCTCAGCGCTGCTCTCTCCTCCGCGGAGGAACGACACGGTGCCCTTTATTCTGGCCTGGTTTCTCTCATTATTGCCCACATTTGCAATCAGTCAGACAGGCAGTATTTGGAAAGAAAACGTAATCCCATACAAACTCTGCTGCAACAAAGCGTATAAAAAGGTCCCCTTGTTCCCTGAAGGAGCGGATGCCTAACAGGCTGGGGCTGGATTCATGCGCCCATGTCTCTGCTAACACCAGCCTTCTGCGTTCAGATTGTACGAGAAACCTCTGTGGCTACAAACCCTCCGTTTGTGAGGTGGTGCCCCTGGCAAGGGCGAGCTGCTGATCGCCCCGAGCCGGCTGCGGACTGTTTTACCTTACAAGGCATCTTGCAGCTGGGGGGTCTGTCAGGTGCTGGGAAAAAGGGCAACGCTGAGCATTTAAAGTTGGGGTATGCTGGGCAACAGCAGGAGCCGCCCAGCTGTCGCGCTGGGGCTGTGGAGGAAGGACTCCGGGCTGGGCTTAGCTGAGGTCCCTCAAACACACAACTGCATGTCCTACCCTGGAGCTCTGCCACCAGGCACTCGCTGGGCACGGATCAGTGCAATGACCCGAGCGACACGGCAACAGTCCTGGAGCCGCTCTGCGTCTTGAGCAAAAACTCTCCTGTCTGCCCTCCACCCTCGTGACAATCCTCCAAAACGCCTGCTTGTTTAAAAGCTAAAATGTGGCACTGACGTCCTTAATATTCAGGTTTTGCTCAAGCAAAGCACTTTCTTCCATAATGTTAATGGTAGTTTTGAGTTTGTGAGGCCTAAGAGATATGTTCAGATTTCCTTTGCTTCATCTTGCAGAAAATGAGTATTTTGTCAATCTGAAATGGGATATTTTGCACTTAGGCTGAAAAGGACAGGGTACAGGAAAACTTCATGAAAGCAGAGCACAAGAACACAACAAACTTCCTCACTGCACCAGAATCTCAAAATGCCCATGACAAAAGCAAACAAATGCTAAAAAAAAAAAATTAAAACTAGATAAATAATACATATAAACCATCTTCAAGTCCCTGGAATAGTCGGCATCCTAGCCTAATGCATGGAGGATAGGAAAGAAAACAGACTGAAAGCTCTTGACGCTTTCTTTTAATTGGTTTTGCTTTATGAACATTAATGTTTTTTGCTAGTTTCAGGAAGTCTGTATTTTTATCTGTATGTTTTATCTGTATGTGATTATACTAGCTAGTGATCACAAACGAACATATTTTACTGACTCTCTCTCAAATTAAAAGACAAACAATTTCATAGAAAGTGAAAGGAGACGGGTACACTGGAAGAACAGCTCCCCTTCAGGTGGACTCACAACGTGGCAAAGACTCACGGCTAAGTCTGAACCAGATGGGAAAATACGGACAAAGACCATGCCCAGTGATGCATCAGATTTCTAGAGAAAAATGGATTCTGAGCCTTGGCACAGCAAAACAATCAGTTGGAAAATATGAATAAACAATGTTAAATAAATCATAGAAAGGTGCCCCAGGAAGGAACCTCCAGAGCCTCCAAACTCTGCCTTTTGAGGATCAGGTACCCCTAGACATGCCCTGCTAGATTAATTTCTTCCTTCTACTTGAAAATCTCCAAAGGTACAATTTTCACAAGCTCTTATAATCCGGAACCGGACGGAACTATTTCTTTACCTCTGCCCCCCTCATTCCCTTTCTGTCGTTCTTCACAGTGGAGGATTTGACATGCTGAATCTTGAAATGACCTGAAAGTGCTGAATGCACTCTGAAATGCTGAGATCAGCCCACCTAAACAGTTCATTTTCTTCCTTTGGTAGGCCTCTATCCGGGAAACAACATGGGGAAAAATCCTCTCCTGGTTTTGTTTGAAGATATTCTTTTCAATGGAAAGGCATTTTTCCAAGACAAGAAATAACTGTGCACTTCTTTGCCTATGATACTGAAGTTCAGAGATTAGTATGAAAGCTTTAGTGTCATTGCTTTCCTTATTCTTTCCCTCCACCTATTTCCTTGCAGCATACTGTTTAATGGCTAACTAATGCCTTCTTTGGGAACAGGCTGTCTTCCTTCCCCTTTGTTTGGACAGTGCTTAGTACAAAGGGCCCTGATTGAGGTTGCTAGGTGCTAAATAAATAATGTCAATAATGGCCTACAGTAGCACCACCAGTTCTGTTAACAGCGTAAGGTACTCTACAGACAGGCGCTGCTCTTGCATAAAGATAAAATTAGCAGGATTATCCCCAAATTGTACATCAGGAGAGTTTATTGATGTAAAACTAGGTTACCTTTAAAAAAAATGTTTTTTGATGAGAACAGTTGCTTTTCTTTCTTTTTCTTTTTTCTTTTTTTAAATGAAAACCTTCACGAGTTTAACAGTTATTAGTTTTTATGTTTGGAAGTGCTGCCATGATGACTGACTTTTTTACTGTGAGGGTGGTTGAACCCCAGACCAGGTTGCCCAGAGAGGTTGTGGAGTCTCCATCCTTGGAAATATTCAAAACTCAGCTGGTCACGGTGCTGAGCAACCTGCTCCAGCTGACTGGGCTTGAGCAGGGGGTTGGACCAGGCAATCTCCAGAGGTACCTGCCACCAACCTCCACTCTTCTGCGATTCGGTGACTTCTGAAAGCTGAAGCAGGGTACCTAGGTCCTGAACATGCTTTATGAGTTGTTTTCCCCAGATGGACCTTTTCCATGGCATACTGCAGCCAGGGACTCTCCCAAAGACCCCTACTGAGGGAGACCGCACTACACCATGGAAGATGTGGGTCAGCCAAACATCCAGTTCCCTGGGAGGCAGGGACAGCACATGCAAGAAGAGGTGTTTTGAAGCATCAAGGTGACATTTGGAAAGTTTCAGGGCTCTGAGGAAAATATTTGCCATATTTTTGCTTTACAGCTACTTTTTGTGCTGTGAGTCAATCAATTATTTGTGCTGGCGTTTTTTTTTCCTTCCTCAGAAGCATCCTCAGAAAAACAACAACAAAAACAACCACAGTATTCTTCTAGCCAGTTCTAAGCGCTAAACAGCAGCCTGTCTGCTGCTGTCTTCCACATCTAAGAGAACCAGAGCAGTAAGGAGTGACAGATGTATCTTGCTTTGTGTTGACTCTCCTTTCTTCAGCATCATTAAAAGGAAAATGAACTGAAAACGTATTTATAGATATAAATCACTCCAGTCTCTCGGATCTGAAATGGGAGAGTAGTCCTGCTGAGAAATTTCATGTGAAGTCTGCTTCTATCTCTGTTTTCCCTAGGCCTAGTATATTGACCGACAGATAGACAGAAAAGCTTCTTCAGTAATTTTTTCCATTATTAGCCTTGCTGCTAAGTCTGTAAGACCAGTACCAAGTTAGCGTCAATGGTGTGTATGGAGGACAATGGGAGGACTATCATCTGTCATTTTGGACTACTACTCATGCAGGGGTGGAAATGACATTCAGTTTTTTTCCTTTTCTTTTTTTTTTTGCTATTAAAAGCTGCCCTTGCAGTGCTGAGCTCTGTGGTATCCCCTTTAAATCCCCATGACCACTGGGCTGCTCTCTTGTTTTAATTTACTAATCAACCACAAAGGTTACATTTCTATAACCAGCACTTTGTTTCTATGATGTTTAATGAGAAAACAAACATCTGTAGGAAAAACTCAGGCACCTGCCAGA